ATTGGAATAACATTGGCTAGCTTCCAGACAGCAAGGACCTCCCAAGACCTTTGGTAGATAATAGAGAGGGGTCCTGCCATAACACCTGCTAGCTCCTTCAGTACTCTGGAATGAATCCCATCAGGCACCATGGACTTGTGAACATTCAGCTCACAGAACCGGCCACTTACAATTTCAGTGTCCACAAATGGAAAGTCACTGTTCCCACACTAGTGGTCCTCCAACTCAGAGGACTGGGCAGCCCAAGGTCTATCAGCATTATTAAAGACTGAGGCAAAAAAAACATTGAATGCCTCCACTTTATCTTTGTCCCTATTAGTCAGGTGTTCATAATCAACAAGTATCAGTCCAATGTTTTCTTTAGACCTCCTTTTGCTATTAATGTACTTAACAAAGCCCTTCTTGTTGTCAGATAGAGCACTGGCCAGTTTCAACTCTAGCTAAGTGTTGGCCTTTCATCATACATACATATTTCAGAAAGACTGCCTTGAATTTCTGCAGAAGCTTCTATAGTCACTTTCAAATTTTGATTCCTTCCTCCTCATGAGGAAAGAAATGAAATTTAAAATATAAATGGGACTTTTGTGTAACAGTAACATGTTCCCCTCAAAAAGTCCTAATTTTTTGATGAAAAGATTTGGCTTTCAAATTACTTCATATTTTGGAGAGGAGGGGAAAAAAAAAACAAATGCCAAACCTGAGTTAAGTCAAAGTTTAAATAAAAATAGATCTTTAAATTTAATCTTGTAGGCTCATTCCCAAGTACTTGGGAGTCAAGAACTCTGAAAAATCAAATTTGAGTATTTATAAACTCCTGATGCCTTAAGGGACACTTACTTTTCTAAAGTCTGGGACAGGTGGTGACCACTGTTGGTGGTACTGTAAGAGCCTAAGCAGTATTTTCTCCTTTGCAAGTGCCTTTCAGTATGAGATGAAATTTGATGTTGTTGCTGTTGTGGTTGGTTGGCTGTTTTTAAGTAATAAGCACCCGAGCAGTTGATCGATGCTCTGAAGTACTGCAAGTACTATGCCAAAGATGTAACCATTAGAAATTTAAATTTAATTTGTTTTCTTTCAAAGTACAGGCAGTCATAATTACACATTAATCTCCAAATATATGAAAAGTGCTAGTTCTGTTACTGTTAGAGATGTAAATGTTTTAAAAAACTTAAGTTCTTGCACAGAATGTTTTTTACTTCATTTTGTGTAAATAACTAGAAAAATACTTATAAGGTAGTGGATTTAAAATATTATTATATTTGTAATGTTAGCATCTTCTAGTTTGATTTGGCTGAATAATATTGTGACCTAACAAAAAAACCCCCATTCATACATTTCTGAAGGATGGATTTCAGGAGTTTATGTATCCCTTAGAGGAGCCTCCTTAACCTAGATGTGTCTGGTTGAAGCAGCTGAGAGAAGCTGACTACCTTGAACTGATCAACTAGTATTTCTTAAAAGGGATTCATGCTTTTGAGGTTTCAAGTACCATAAATGCAGTACCAGTACTGCTCACTGGGAGCCTCAGAACCAAACTGCTTTGTCATACTTCTACTGGGAACAATTTTCATAGAATAATGGAATACCAGGTTGGAAGGGAACATCTGGTCTGACCTTTCTTGGCAAATGCGGGGTCTAGACAAGATGGCTCAGCACGCTGTTCAGCAAAATACTAGAAGTGTTCAGTGTTGGGGAATCCAGCGCTGCCCTGGGGAGATTATTGCAATTGCTGATTGTTCTCATTGTGAAGAAATTTCCTCGCATCCAATTGGAATCTCCCCAGGAGTAACTTGTACCATTACCCTTCCTCTTTTCCACGTGACTCCTTCTATAAAAGGAGTCTCTATCTTCTTTGTAGCCACCCTTTAAATATTGGAACATGGCAATAAGGTCTCCCCTAAGCCTTCTTTTCTCAAGGCTGAATAAACCCAGTTCTCTCAACCTTTCCTCATACATCAGTCCTTTGATCATCTTTGTGGCCCTTATCTGGACCCTGTCCACATCTTTTTTGTATAGCAGGGACCAAAACTGAACAGAGTATTCCAGGTGTTACCTGACAAGTGCTGAGTAGAGTGGGATAATGATTTCTTTATCTCTGCTAGGTGATGCCCTTGTTGATGCAACCCAGCATCTTGTTGGCTTTCTTTGCTGCAGCAGCACACTGTTCACTCATATTGAGCTTACTGTCCACCAGTACCCCCAGGTCCCTTTCCACAGAGCTGCTCCCCAGCCGGACAGATCCCAGCCTGTGCCTTTGCTGAACTTCGTAAGGTTCTTGTTAGGCTACTCTTCCAGCCTATCCAGGTCTTCCTGCAGAGTGGTTCTCCCTTCCGACGTGTCCACTTCCCCACTCAGTTTGGTGTCATTGGCGAACTTCATCAGGGTACACTCGATCCCATCATCCAGATCACTTATGAAGATACTAAACAGTGTTAGGTTATTGATCCCTGGGGGACCCTATTTGTGACAGGTTGCCAGTTTCAAAAGGAGCTATTTACCCTATAATTTCCTGGATCCTCCTTTAAGCCCTTCCTGTGGATGGGGGTTATTCTGTGATTCTGTTTTACAGTGCCACAGTTGGGATCCTATGTTCTTTGGTCAAAAACTGCTATGATAAGTTATGAAAATAAAAGTTTACTTTACACGTATGATTTTATATTTATTTTAAAAGAAATTAACTAATTACCTTTTTATTTTTGACATATTTTATTAATTGTAAATTAAAGGTTTTATAATAGTCACCTCCTCTGAAAGCATCATCTCCTCAGTAAGGGGTTTTTGTTAGTAGTTCTTAATACAAAGCTGCAGTTTTCATTTCTTCATGTCATAAAACTACCTTTTCAGTTGACCTCTAAGTTTCTTGTGATTTTGTGACAGAGTTTTAATTTGCCGTTGAATTACAAGGATTGTAATCCCAGTTTATGTACTACCTACCTGAATTAGGGAGATAGAAAAATCTTAATCTCTGTTTACAGCTGAGTTTAGGAATAAGTTATTTCTGATCTTGCATTATGGAGCTTGCTAGGTGGAGGTAGCAGAGGAACTATTGCGGTTCTCTATTGTTTGATGTGTTCCTGGGTAAACTGTTCCTTCTAGGCCTCTGTTGTTCCTTAGAGCACCAGAATCATTGGGACACTGTGCATGATGTGCTGATGTCTTTCAGTAAGTGCAGGAAGAGAAATGATGTTTGCCAAGAATTGTCTACGTCAAGAGAGGAAGACCTGCATTCATCCTATCTGAGGTGCTGGAGTCTGAACCACAGGTTCCATGGGGTTCTCACCATTTTCCCAGGAGAAATACAGACTCTGCCACAGACTGGTTTAGCCTTTTTGAAGTAGGAAGAACAGAAGTACCAAAGTTTGTCTGCTGTCTTGTACCATGAAGAAATATAAGATGGGAGACCTGGTGCTACAGGCTGCTTCTGAGGCTATCTGCTGCTATAGAAGCCCCCAGTAAAACCTTTGGTTGCTCACCTGTATCTTCCCTGTTTAGACAGAAATTATCAGGATCTATATAACCTGCCATCATCCATTCATTTTGGGGAGGGGATCTAGTTTGCCTACTTGTGTGGCATCTACACTAATACAATTCTGTATTCATTTAGCTGTTAAAATGTTTTGTAACCTTACTGTAACTAGTAGACGTCGTTCCAAGCAATCTTTGATTTCTTTGGGTTATCGTTGGCAAGTAAGAATGTCTGTCATGCCAGAAACTCCAGAAAGTTTTCCTGGCCTTCTCAATACTGCTGACTAAAGCACCAAGTCCTGTTTCAAATAGAAGTCTGGATTCAGTTGTCAGCGTGTAGTGTGCCTAGCACTGTATTGTTGGCCAGCATCTGTGTTCTGGGTTTGTTGGCACAAAAGCAATAACCATTTGGTTTTAATGAAAAAAGGAAAATAAGGCTGGCAAGGGAGATGTTTTTAAGAGGTAGTGAACTATGTTTTTATGTTTCTGTCTTCAAAACAGAGGGCATTTTAGCTAATTATGTTTTCTAAACATAATCAGAACAGTACATCCCAACTACAAAAAAGAAAATAAATGTAAATTGAAAGAAGTTGGAGGAAATGCAGCATTATTAACAAGGGAAAGTTGACTAATTCCTTTTTTAACTCCATGTAATGTAGCAACAGAAAGAGATTCAAATTGCTTGCAAAACCTGTACTTCCCTACCATTCCAATAGTAAAGGGCTAGTAATTGATAGGTAAATAACAAAAAAGCTCTGTCTATAGATGACAGCTGTGTGGTTGGAATATTGATTACAAGTTACAAAATCACTTAAGATGCTCCAGTCTGTACCTGTAGATTGGCTGAAGGAGGGTGATGGTGGTGAGCAGAGCATTCAAGGAAATGACCCATAGGAAGAAGGAAAGATGCACAAACCAGAGATACTTACTTCACTGGGTGGCAAGGGCGTAGACAACATGTCAGCAAATGAGTTTTGGTGTTTCCCTCTCCCTTTTGGTCTCCTTTCAAAGAATACATGTATATATCTACATTAGCAAGATTTTGATGAAAATTTTATTCTTGCAGGCACTGACACTATCATTGAGTTAAAACCTAAGTTTGAAATCGGTGTGTCTGAAATATTGTCAAACTCCACTCATTCTTACAAAATGTTCAGAGGAGGCTTTCAAAGGCAGAACCTGTGCTTTTGTAAGGCACCACTCCTATTCCGCTGCTTGAAAGAAAGGGCTTGTTCTATCTGTTCCAAGAAAAGATTCAGAATTGCCTTATGCCGAGTAATGGGGACTCAAAGGTTTTCCCTGTCCGTGGCTACAGTGAGGGGCATACCTGCCTCAATGCTTGCTTTGCAGCCCTATCTTCTCTCTGTATGCTCTGTAAATGCTAAGGTGCCTAACTCGGGTGGGATGGTACTGCGCTGTGCCCTTCTTGGCTGAATTTCAGGTGCTGCATAGCTGAGCAGTCCCTGACCCTTGCTGGATCTGTATGTAGGTGTTTGTTTCCAAAAATAACCAGGATCATCTTTTTTTCTCTCTAGAAAAGTTGATTGCATATCAACGGGAATTTCATGCTTTGAAGGAACGTCTTCGTATAGCTGAGCATCGAACTCTGCAACGCTCTTCTGAGCTGAACGCTATCTTGGAACAGTTCAGGCGTGCAGTAGCAGAAACAAATGGGAGTAAGAATTCAATGAATAATTTTTCAGGTACATACTGTGATTGAACTACTTTTTATGGCTCTGCACCACTACCATCGCTTCTTATTACTTATTAAGTAAAATAAGAAATTAATACCAAGAAAGTCAAATGAAACTGTTCAGCCGTGCAAATAAAGAATCTGTAATACATTCTGTCTGGTGGGGACTTTTTTGGTTTTTCCACTTTCTGTTCTTAATGACCCACCCACTCTTCATTCATACATCTTTAGGGGCTGAATACTTTTTCCACACCTAGCTCCAGAACTCTGGAACTTCTGGTTACTTATTTAACATACTGAATATATTGTGACAATAATTTACATCACTTTTTAAATAGAGCTTGAGGGCAAAGGTGAGCAAACAGTGTTTAAGGAATGGATGAACTTGAAGCAATTAGAATATGTTTAAAGAGCAGCTGGAAGAGGTAAAAATGTACAGGCTAAGGTATAGGTTATGATTTGTAAAATGTACAGATAATGTCCTTTTAATACTAGTGAATAAATGTTGAACTGGTAAAGTCCTCCATAAGTTTTTACCCATTTCAGAGGCTGATGCTCAAGTTTACAGGGAGCTATGTTTGGCAATAGTAGAGAATACCTTTGCACTGCTCACCAATTTTAAAGTTAACTTTTAAAATCACAGTATTACTGCTTTAGTCACACTGACTATTCTAGATGGAAAATGAATAACAACTAAGTATAAACTTTCTGGTGAAAGGTCTGATTTCGTAGGTTGTAAAAATTTCACTATTGGCCTAATGAGGAATATAAACCCAAAGATTTTTGCAAATAAAAAATCTGGATCAAGCTTTTTGAATCTTATCTACTTGCGTTTGTGCTATCAGTTGCTATCTTTTATAGAAATGTTTTTTGGGGGGAGAGTTATAATTATAGGCCCTCAGTGCTGATATTAAGGATGAATTGCTCTGTCTGACACTAATGGCCTATCCAACATGATCTCCAGGAATGGCGTGGATAAAGGTTACATTTAACAGTCTGTGACTCTTGTCTTCCTCTTCTGTGTGTATGTTTTTGCTGTTAAAGTGAACAGCAATAGAGAAGGAAGTCATGTAAGTTTGATACTAGATTTATGATTAAGTTGTTACCACATTTATTTCTAAAAATATGTAATATATATATAATATAGTCATAGGCAGTTATTCTCTTCTGATGCAGCTGGTTACTGACTTATATTTTAAACTTTCTACCATGTCTGGATCCCAGCTGGGACATCCTCTCTTTTTCCATGTGGAGCCATGATGAGAAGTCAGTTGAAGTCTGAATTCCTGAGCTTTTGTGCTCAGATCTTAGTACTAGATAGATTTTAAGTTTAATATACTTAAGTATACATAATACTATGTAGTATTTGCTATCTTTGAAGCTGAAAAGATTCCAGATTGGTTTATGAAAATCATTATTCATTCATACAAAGAGCTGTCATATTTTGAGAGAATTTTTAGTCCAGCTTTTGCAGTTGAAGCTAAAGGAAATGCTAGCAGGAAAAGTAAAATGTACCCTATTGGAATCTATCAAAATTAACATCTCTACTAATGGCATTCATTTGCAAAGTATTTTTCAAGACTATAAGTGGTTAGGAATTTAGTTTCACCTAAAAAATAAATATTAAAAAAACCCCAACCCAAGCCAAAACTCACAACAAAACTGTTGTAGAAGCTACACCCAGAATCTGAGAGGAATGACATCTATGGCATTACTCTTCTCACTTCTGCACAGTTCAGTTTTATCTCAGAAACCATGAGTACAGTCAGTTTCTTATTTAACTTGATATTGTAAAGCCCATAAGTTTTCAAAGATCCATAGGCTATCGTATTTGTTGTCTGAAATAAGAGTTGTTTTCACACTTGATGTAAGAAAATCAACACGCACAGCAGGGGAATTTGAAAACTGTTATTTGCAACTTTGAGAGCCACCTGGACATCCTGAGAGGCAGTTATTCTAGAAAGAGCAAGAATTATTTTAAGTACTCTAATGGACTAAATTAAATTCATGTTAGCATTTATTTTATTGCAGAAACACTTAAAATCTTTAATTGTATATTTAATGCTACTTTTGTATCTGTATGGGCAGTTTATTCTAATATGCATTTGTAGCTTTGAAAAGTTATTTGCAGTAGCATCACTACATGGTGATGAGCTCTGTAAGCATAAATAAAAAATAAACTAGGTAAATAAGCCTCCCATTTTGATTCATTGTGGGGAGGGAGCTCCAAACAACCTAAATAAATGGTTCATTCTTTACTTCTGTGATTATACACTAAGTCTTGTGGGATCAGGTAAGTATTAACTGCATCTGTAGCAAGATTACCAAGTGGAAAATAATCTTGGCCACAGTTTATTTAAAAAATTAAAATGAGAAAAGACTTCCTTTGTACACAAGATATAATGCCTCAGTAAGATGCAGTGTTTGTTCTATTTTTCAGTTAGAACCAAGCTTGAAATTTTGTATTATTTACGACTGCATAAAAATGCATATTGTTTGTTTTCTGCTTTACTGATTTCATGTATGTTTGCAGATGAGACACTGAAATTGTTAAAAGAGCTAACAAGTAGAAAATCTCTTCAAGTGCCAAATATCTATTACCATTTGCCTCATTTGTTGAAAAATGAAGGAAGCCTTCAACCTTCTGTGCAGGTTGGCCTTGGAAGGACAGGAGGTATGCTGATACAATGTTTATGTTTTATATCTGGTGGACTTCCTAGTTTTAGTAATATAATTTACTGCATTACTTGGTAGATCAAGGACATCTCATTTAACTTGTGTGATACTGATACCTCTTAGAACTTGTGCTGAATCCAAGATGAAAGGAGTTTGGCTTCAGCTTTGCTCTTTTCTGCATAATCTCAGTCACACCCTATCCCACGTTAAGGTACACATTAAGAAGCATTTTGTTTGGATGAATTTTTTAACCAAGTAAAAGGGAACAAAGCTCAAGATTCTGAACAACAGATTTTGAACTGCTACTGGACATACCCCTTTGGCTTTTCAGATTTGTGGGGCAACCGTGGATGAATGTAATTATTTTAGATTTGATGTTTCTGGTTTTTTGACCAATATATTTCAATGTATAACTTAAGAGTTGGGAGAACTAGGATAATCAGATATAATTGCATCAATAAAATGTGAACATTCATTGAAGGGGGGAAAAAAAATCAGTCTTGTGCTGCAATACTGTCAATCCCTTTTTTTTTTTCTAATCCTCACAAATTCTGAGCTTTGGTCATTAGGAGAGCTCCGTGGAATCCCACTCTTGGAGCTCTAGAAAATAAATAGCATAAAGCCCAACCAAGCTGATATACCTCAAAGCATCTCTCTCTCTCTCAGCCTGAAGGCCCCACCAATGAATCCTTGCTTCTCTATGTGCCTTGAATGGCTCATGTTATTGTCCACTAGGTCTCTCTTTTTTTTAATTTTCTCCCCCTCCTTGCTTTTGAAAGAAGCATTAGTTACTCCTGGCCTGTATTTTTTCATTACTTTACTAAGTTTGATTGCTCCTTCTTTTTTTAACAGAAGGCATGCCTGTGTGACAAGTGTGCAAGCCATAGGGTTATTTTTCTGACTATAAACGCCATTTATTTCAAAACTGCTATTCAGGAAGGAAAAGGCTCATATTCCTTTATTGTTTCACGTGAACCCTGTATAATATCCCACAGGGAATATATGACAGAAGTTTGAAATTGCAAAATAGAAATTGGAATCAGGTTTGTTTAATTAAAAAGAGGGAGGAAATTATGAGTTAAAATTATTTTCCTATCTTCCCCTTTCCTGGTCACTGTGCTTTTTGAGTGTTTGTTTCAAAATCCAGAGCTTGTTAATGTGTAGTTGCTAGGCGAAGCAGGCTCTATAAGGAAGGATGAACATTTTTTAATAGTTGTTTGATTTTTATATATTTATGATGCTGTAAATCATTTCACACAGATGGCTTGGAATGCTGGTGCTGACTTCATGAAGTCTGCTTTATCCTTCTGCTGTGTTCCTGCTGCTATCTGCTGTGTTCTTAGTAGCTAGCCAGCCCTGGGTATGGGGTGGAGTGCAGAAAAAAGAGTATGGGAAAGTTAAGGGACACAGGAGTCAAATGGTCAGCTGAAAGATGGTGTTAATAGCTTTGTAGCTGGGGCCAGATTGCTTTGCATTTCAGATGCTTGTAACAGGGATAAGAGATTTCAGTGAGGAGTTTCTGGGCAATCCTGATGACCTGGACTTGTTTTTCTAGAAGAAGCCAAATCAGGTGCAAGGAAAGTAATAGAGGTTTTTTTCAGCAGTGTCACTTTAAAAGACAACTTCTGAGAAGTTAAATACTTGAGTTGTGAGGAATGGTTATGCCAATTTGAAAATAAAACGGAGTTAGGGAGTTTAATCACTCTATAAGTCTTGGGGCACCTTATCTGATTAATACCATGGCTGTTGATTATTACCTATCCAATAGTCTGGCATGTCTAAGAATTACTTTTTCTTTTTTTTGTTCACTGGGTTTGCTCTGAGTGTTGGTGGTGATTATGTTAATCATGCTCCTGATGATGGGTGGTGTATTTTTAAACTATTTTTAGTTACTGTTATCTCCATCTTTTAACTCTTAAAGTTGCATTTCTTAAGCAATGCTTTATTATGACATAAGATTTTTGTTTTCTATCTTGTGTGTGAAATCACTGAAAGTACATTTCTGGTTTGTTTGATTTCAGTTTCCATTGTAATGGGAATACCTACAGTGAAAAGAAAAGTCAAGTCTTACCTTACAGAAACTCTCCACTCCCTTATTGATAAGCTGTCCCCTGAAGAAAAACTGGATTGTGTTATGGTTGTCTTTATAGGAGAGGTAATCACTTAAATATTTTTATAAAATTTCTGACCTGCCTTTAATTATAAGTACCACTCCTTTTAGGAACTGATGAGGATCTACTTTTTCTTCAAGATGTAGACAGATGACTGTCTTCTCCTTCCATGAAAAGGAGACAGTGTCAGTCTTGAAGAAACGATCCTGAAGAGCCCAGCTTTTTTTATTTGTCAAGGGAACAACGGACATGGATTCAGTGGACTTTTTATTTTGCAGATCTTCTGGCTCTTATACCTAGTGACAGGGATGTGTTAATTACCTTATTCCTTAAACATCAAAATAATGGCTAAAGTACTCTGATGTTGTAGGAGAGCATATTCTTCCCATTCTCTTCATGCTACTGCTTAGTCCTTCCTCAAAGTGAGTGCTGCAGTTTGAGATCTTAGGCACAGATTGTTACTGACTTTACTTTCTGGACAATGTGGATATTGTAAGTCCAGACCTTCTTCATGGATTAATTCAAACAGTGTTCAGTTGGACAGTTTGGTCAGTTTGGCTCTGATTTAGTGGAAATAAAATTTAGGAAAATGATAGAATGCTTTCAGAAATAGTTCTGTTGGCCGCTGGGAATTGTATATACTTATTTTGGTCTCTATGTTTTTCTCAAAAGTCTGACTTGCAGAGTGGGAAATTTTATATATATATGTTTGACCTTCATCCATCCATCTAACCATACAGTGCTCTACTGGAACAGTGTTTTATGAGTCCCACAGATGAAAATTTCAATCCTCTAGTTATAACTGTGAAAACAGTTTTAATCCTGTGAGCCAGTGTCCGTTCAGGGATGAATCAGTGGAAAATCAGATAGGCAATTTTAATACTTCTAGTTCTATTATTAGCACATTTTAAAGCTTTCCTTGAAAAGTTTGTAAGCTTTCTACCTGTACCTGAGAACTGATTCTTATGGTTTTCTAATATAAATTGCTCTGTTTTCTTTTTCTTGACAGTCAGTCAAAAACTACCTGTCAGGATAGATACTGCTTTTCTGCAGAAAATGCTCTTAAAACATCTGTTGGTTGAAAATACCAAGAGAAGAGAATTCCTTCTGAATTACCAGAATTCTGGCGTTTTCTTCATGGTATTAGTTGGAGTAGTGATTTTATTGCCTTTTAGTGTGGCTTCTTTTCAAGGTTTAAAGCTGAAGTTTCATCCTGTTTTGCTTAAAGAGGTCTGAGCTATGAAGACTGTGTTATCATTGGATTATCTGTCTTCTGCAAAATTTAAAATAGGAGTGAAGAGAATCCACACTCTGTCCCCAACTGCACAAGTTTCTGTTGTTGCCTTAGTCAAGCCATATTGCTATACTCAAGTGTCCCATAGCTAAATAACTTTTTTCCTTTGAGGTGGTGTGAAATTCTCTTTCATCTTGGGAATGAGTCTGCAAAAGTGACCAAGAAGGAACTGAATGTTTTAACATGGGAGCTATTGCTTCTGTGCCCAAGGAGAATTGTGTGGTTTACTCTGGAACTTGCCTTCTGTATCTTATCTCTGTATCTGTCTCTTTGAGAGCAGCACTATGTGCTTTCTCACATATCTGCTGTGGGCGCTGCAAGCCATGAATGCCTGGGAAAATTCAAAGCATCTGAGTTTCAATTCTTGTCTTGTTACAACCATTCCTTATATCTGCTTATATTTCTTTTTCTTTACTTCGTCCACTTTTATGTCTTCCCTGCTTTACTATTTCTTTGACCATGTTTTATGTTTTCTTAAGTTCAATATCTCATAGTTTGTTTTGTAATTGCTACAGGGAACTCTCTCAATGAATAATATGGTACAGTAAATACTTCATCCTGAACTATGCTGTGTTTTTTCTGAGTTATGCTGTATATTTCGCTTCCTTCTGTAAGATGAAAAGTGATGGTTTATTAAACATTCTCTCTGGCTTTTTGAAGGAAGGTCTCCCCTGGTGGACTTCTGTTTCTCCTTAAACAAAATGGAGGGCTTTAGCTTTTAAAATAGCTTTTTGCCTGTGGGATTTCCTAGCCTAATATGTGTTAGGCTATTGCTATCATTAGCAACTGTGCATTAATGAAGGCTTGTTTAAAAATACATTAGAACTTTGACCAACTATACGTGTATTAAAAATGATGGCAAAAGTTTCTGAAAAAAGGTGTGGCCTCTGTTCAACATCTGTGCAGTTTAAGTACAGCAAGAAGTTATCATAGTGTGAGGTGAGGGAGTTAATTTTGCTAATAAGCTTAAAATTACTGTCTGTGCTTTGTCTATAGCTTGTATCAACAACAAAAAAAAAGTGCAAGACTTCACAAAAATGTTTTTATGAGACAATTATATGAAAAATGGTATTTTAAAAGGATTTTAGTATTTTCTTGCTGACTTTATTTGAGAAATCAAATTGACAGTATTTGAGAAGCACTGCTGGGAGCCATAGTCATGGACAGTAATTCCTTTGTATTAAGCACCCTAGAAAACTCTTTTAATCCTGCTATTTTTTTAGCAGTTCAATCTCACTACTTTCTTGTAAATCTGACTTTTTTGCTAGAAAAAAAGTTGGAAATTAAAGCTAATGGCCTTCTGCAAACAGCATTAAGCTGTGTAAACGGATGAGCTAGTAAATATAGATGCACTATGCTTGTTAAATAAGGACGTCTGCATATTCATTTACTGTATGGCTATTTCTCAGTAATGTAATTATACACACAGTACATTTCCATATGGGAAGTTCAAGGAATTCTAAAATATCTCAGCTGATGTGATATCTAATCACCAATTTAAATAATTACTATAATTGCTTGACAGTAAACTGTGCAATTGTCCCAGTAACTGACACATGTCTGTGTTCTCCAATTTGTTAAAATAACTTCATTGCAGAATAATTTGCAGGTATTCATTAGGATGACTAATAAATAGGCATGATTCATTATACCTCTATACTTAAAAATCTTTTTATTCCCCTTCACTATGTAGCTAGTTCATAGGCTCATCAGATGACTTGAACCAACGATTCAAATCTCATCAACCTGCTCTGTATGAGAACCTGCTTTCAGAATAAACTATAGGCTCTAGGTTTAAGAAACTATGAACTCCAGCTTAAAATGGTTGTCTAGTATTTTTATTTAATATGGTTTGTAATTAACATGGGAAACATGGTTTTGAAGTACTTTACATCATCATAGCAGAACAGCAAACATATAGGTGTGTATATATATACACACGCACATTACTGAATATGAGAGAAATTAAAATACTTTTCTGGTATCTAAACTTTATTTTTTTCCTGTGGGGACATCTCATTTAGCATGAAGAAAATGAATCTTAGACTTGTTCTAAATATATCACAAATTATTGTCAGTCCACTTCATTAATCAGTGACTGCACTTAGCACAGTCTTTTGTACAAACAGTAATCAGCGTATATGGGAAAGACTATAAGCCCTTGATTTGACAAAAAATATCAGAAAGACAAATCATTCCTGTAAGAGTCAGAAAATGCTACAGGTAATGCAACAGCATTTTGCTAATTCTGTATGCTACTGATTGCATCTGACTAGGCAATAATTGACCAGCCATTTGTTCTTGGAGCACTAGTCCATATGTTATGCTTTCTTGCATATTGCTTATTCAAATCTTACTTTGTTGTTTCGTGTGTATACAATTCACTTAGGCTAGAAAAACTTGCATGTCTTGAATATCTTTTAATGTCACCGTGTCATCTCTTTATGTGAACAGTGGCTGCTAAATTAAAAGATTTTGATCTTCAATAGTGTTTTCTCTGTCCTCCTTGTGTGGAGAGTCTTTTTTTTTTCTTACTATTTCTTTGGAAAAGTTTCTGTACTGGTTGGGTCAGCGTGACACAAGCATGCAGTAAGGCACCACCAGCCTTTGAGCTGGTATGAACAAAAGCCTCAGCAAATTAAGCACTGAGTGCACATACTAGATCAAACCTTGCTGAACCTGTTTTGGATGTATTAACATTGGAGTGCAATATGGAAAACTTCTCCAGCAAAATAAACACGCCTGTATTTTCACCTCTTCTTGCTCTGGGCTTGAATTATAGATCTCCTTGATCAGCAGATCTCTTGACAGTAAACAAAGGAGTATTTTGTCTCTCTTGCTCTCAACTCAGATGTACTAGTATCATTCCAGCTACAGAGGTGTTCCATTCTTTCTGCTAATTGCTGAAAACTTGAGAGCCACCCCTTCCTGGAGCTGCCCTGGAGAATGTATTCCTAGTCCTCAAAAGATCTGACTGCACATCTCAAGTTGGAGAAAGACCAATAGATCTTAGCATATACATACATATGTATGTATGTTTTTTATAGATATATGTGTGTGTATATATATAAAAGCAAAGCTAGACAAAGCTGTTGTGCCAAATGATACATTGTCTTCACCAGGTAATTTTAAAGGCCTACACAGATGGTAGCCTTTGTTTTAGACATCTCACTCAAAACTGATCAGGATGAATAGACCTTCTACACACACCACGAGCTCGTATCTGGAAGGGTAGCTTGGTCTGTCACGGCGCATTGGAGATATTTACGCTGCTGTTGCAACTCCTGCTGCTTTGGCACTTAAGCTTTGGTACCCAAAGAGTGTGGGCTGCTGATATTGGGCACCATCATTTTACACTCCTCTTTTCATGGCAGTGACTAGCAAAGTTTTTATATGGGATTAAACCAGTGATAAAAGTCTTTCTTAGATCTCAGAAAAGATCCTTGACAGGATTTGAAAACTTGCATGTACCTGAGACAAATTTAGCATCTCAGCACAAAGACAAAATTCAGGATTGTGCTCTTTTTCTCAAGCCCTAGGCTTGAATGACTGAAATGCTTCTCTGTCTATAAGACACCTTCTGAGATGCACCTGGACCACAGTAAATATCTGATGCTTCTGGTAAGGGAATATCAATGTTAACATGACAGAATTGTGTCTGATCTCTTCAGTAACATCTAGTGTATTTGTGAGATGGAAAGTGACAGTAATAATATTATTTCAGAAACATTGTAGCAGGTGACTTCACAC